CCAGACCAAGCAGACCAGCTTGACCAGTCGATCCGGTCAGGCAGACCAAACCAGACCAGACCAGCCAGACCAACCAGTCCATCCAGAGCAGACCAGACCAGCCAGACCAGCCAGACCAATCAACCAGCCAGACCAATCAATGAGACCAACCAGACGAAACCAGCTAGACCAACGAGACCAACGAGCAAAAAAACAGCCAGACCAAGCAGACCAGCTAGACCAACCAGACCGACCAGACCAGCCAGACCAATTAGACCAGCCTGGCGAACCAGACCGATAAAGCAACCCGAACCAGACAAACCGAACCAATCGGACGTACCACACCAGACGAACCAGACCAACGAGGTGAACTACTCGACCAACCAGTCGACGCGAGACCAGCCAGACCAGACCAGACTAACACGACCAGAGTAACAAGACCAGGATCGAGGAGCGGCCGCGTTTTTTCTCGACCTGGGCCGTTGTGGAGTACAGCTAAGTAAGCTCCATCGCCGAGCAGCGCCGCGCTGGGGGTCCATGCGTGACCACGTACCCCCCCAGACGGCGCCAGTCTGGAATCGTCAGAGATGGTGATGCTCTTCCTCCTCCCCCTCCTTCTACCCAACGCCATGCCAACGCCAGCTAAAGCCTCAGCACCAGGCTCAGAGCAGACCAACCAGACCAGCCAGACCAGATGCAAAAAAAACTGCAATGCAAAAAAAACTGCAATGCAAAAAAAACTGCTTTTCGGTCGGAGTCGTTGGCGCTGCCTCCCTGGACCTCCCCTAAACCACTCTCGCCTGAATCCTAAGCTAAAGCCTCAGCACCAGGCTCAGACCAGACCAACCAGACCAGCCAGACCAGATGCAAAAAAAACTGCAATGCAAAAAAAACTGCAATGCAAAAAAAACTGCTTTTCGGTCGTCGTCGTTGAAGATGCATCCCTGGACCTCCCCTAAACCACTCTCGCCCGAATCCTAAGCTAAAGCTTCAGCACAAGGCTCCAACCAGACCAGCCAGACCAGATGCAAAAAAAACTGCAATGCAAAAAAAACTGCAATGCAAAAAAAACTGCTTTTCGGTCGTCGTCGTTGAAGATGCATCCCTGGACCTCCCCTAAACCACTCTCGCCCGAATCCTAAGCTAAAGCTTCAGCACAAGGCTCCAACCAGACCAGCCAGACCAGATGCAAAAAAAACTGCAATGCAAAAAAAACTGCAATTCGGTCGTCGTCGTTGAAAATGCATTCCGGGACCTCCCCTAAACCACTCTCGCTTGAATCCTAAGCTAAAGCTTTAGCTAAAGCTTCAGCACCAGGCTCAAACCAGACCAGCCCGACAACTCCGACCAGATACAACTCCGACCAGCTTGTTCTTTGGAAGCTTGGCGTCCCGCCGTGCGCTACACGGCTAAGAACTTTATCACTACCGAGCGTCCGTGGTTGGCGTGGTTGGCCAATTTGTCCCAGGCGGACCTTAAGCATGTCTTGTCGTATCATGCCGAGAGCGACCTCTTATTGGAGAAGGGTGAAGTTGCTGAGCAAAATCGATTGGTCTGTCCTGATTGTGGTCGCATTTGCAACGGGCCCAAAGGGCTGGCCAATCATCGTTTCAGCGCCCATGGTATTGAACCCAATCGGCTCGCCTTGCCAATTGAGGCCCTTCGCAACAAAACGTGCCCCTACTGCCAGAAAGTGTTTGCCAGGAAGGATTCGTTGGTCAAGCATCTCGATAAACGCAGATGTGTTGCCTTAGGCCGGGAGCCTGCACCGCAAGATTCTGCGGCTCAAGCGCGTCAAGCTCCACCGGCACCCCCAGGTTGCGTGCAGAGTTCCCGGAGCCATGTTCGCGCCAGTGGGGGATCTCTTGAAGAGGAAGGGGGAGGAGGCCCTCACCGAGGCCGCGGCGGACGGGGGCGAGGACGACGGCAAGGGCGTGACCAAGTTGCACCGGGTCTTCGCCAAGCTGGTGCTCCAACACGAGGACGTCATCAGGAACGACGCGAGGGACGACAACGTAGTGGCGAGCTTCCGGGAGGACGCCCAGATCGCGATTGCTCTCGAAGCAGGGGTCCAGCACTACCAGCGCGAAGGGCAGCGAGCTCAGGAGGAGGCGGAGGCCGCGGAGACGGACTACCGCGGGAATCCGCTCGGCAAGCGGCCGGATGCTTACTTGAAGATGCTTCTCTTCCGCCTCAACGAGGCCGTGGTGCTCAAGAGCGCGGAGGTGGATGCGGCGATCCAGCAAGGCCCCTCTCCAGTAGAGGCCAAGGCAGCAGTGCAGGCGCTCGCGAAGTGGAGCCTCAAGGCACAGGACAAGGAAGAACGCGTGGTGGCCACGCGGTGCTTCAAGGTGCGCGTGGCCAACGAGGACGAGGGCAAGCCGGCGACGATCAAGTGGGTGTTCGCCACCAACTCGCATCCCGAGCTCCGCGACGCGCTGTTTCTGTTGAGGACCAACGGGGGCCTCAGCGCGGCAGGGATTCTTCTCGACTTCGATTCCGCCCAACGTTCGAAGGCGGCGAAAGAATTGGAGAAAACGGTGTTCAAGAAGGGCGGAGGCCGGGGCAAGGGGGCCAAGAAACCCAGGAGGAGGTGAACCGACAAACAGATGACAGGTTAGGAGGGCGGTTCCGTAGTAGGCAGAGTCTGATCTCAAACTTTTTTGCGAGAGGCGAAGACCTCTCTGTGCAGAGATCTATAGGCCACGCGGCCGGGACAGCGGCGGACAATGCTCAGAGATCCCAAACTCGTTCGGGGATTTAGTGCTCGTTTTTGGTCTCTTGTAGGTGGCCGGCGGCCCCCTTGGTCCTAGAGGGGACTGAGGCGGCTGCCCCTGTAGTGCCACCCTCACAGGGGTGAGGGTGCTCAGGGGTGGGATCTTGGAGCCCAAGCCTAGCTTCTTGGCTCATTGCCTATGCCCCGCAGCACCCTTAGGGCTCACTGCATCTTGTAAGTAGCAAGTGTCAGCGCCGAGACATCGGTAGGCCTCTAGGCTAGCCCACCGCAAAACTTCCAGCCGACAGTTCGAGGGAGTAGCGACCTAAAGGAAGGGCGGCGGAAAGCGGTAAAACATGCGCCCCCAAGAGATGTCAACATTTTTGTTCAGGATTTTCTGGAATCCGCCATCTGATTTCTCCATGCGCGCCCCCGGAGGCATCGATCCTCCCTCGCCTCGGGGACAGCCTGTCGCGCCGGATCCGCTGCTCATGGCCCCGGGGGGCCAGGCAGCGGGCCCGACCCCCCGCAGTGAAGCAAGCAGGAGATCTGGGCCCGCGACCTCTCGATGTTCGAAGATTAAGGGTTGTCGGTCCTTTTCTGCGCCCCCCCTGGCGGTCCTTGCCCTCGACCCCGGGCGGCTTGGGCGGCGCGGCCTCCCTGCCGCCGAGCAGCTGGATGGCCTGATGATGGTGGTGGTGGTGTGTGTGTGTGTGTGTCTGTGTGTGTGTGTGCGTGGGTGTGTGTGTGTGCGTGCGTGCGTGCGTGCGTGCGTGCGTGCGTGCGTGCGTGCGTGCGTGCGTGCGTGTGTGTGTGTGTGTGTGTGTGTGTGTGTGTGTGTGTGTGTTTGTGTGTGCGTGTGTGTGGGTGGGTGTGACGGGGGAGGGGGGAGGGGCGCCCCCCCCCAGCGGAGCCGCTGCAGCAGGGCGAAGAGGATAACGAGAGTACGTGGCATGATGGCGAGGGAGCGGAGGATGAGGAGGAGGAGGAGGAGGAGGAGGAGCACAGCACACAAGCCTTCCAAGCCGTCTGAGAATGTCTGGGGAGAAGCGTGCGGCCCGGCCTGGGGCCATCAGGTCCAAGTCTAAGCCTCTTTCGTCATTCCGCCTTTTGGCAACCATGCTGTTACATCATGCGCTGATTGCTTGGAGCTCTATGTCTGTAGGGGGAGCGTCTGGGGAAGGATGATGATTGAGATGCTGATGATGCTGATGCTGCTGCTGCTGATGATGATGATGATGATGATGATGATGATGTTGACTATGTGGATCATTATTATGATGGTGATGGCGATGGTGATGCTGATGCTGGTGAGGATGATAATGATGATGCTGACGATGCTGATGGTGATGGTGATGAAAAAGCTGCTGCTGATGAGGATACGGATGATGATGATGATGATGATGATGATGATGGTGATGATGATGATGATGTTGATGATGATGATGCTGATGATAGTGGTGATGATGATTTATTTATTCATTTACCCCTCGGCTATGCTGCACCAGCTGCCTGAACAAGAACCCTGCCAGAAGACCTGCACTACTCGAACTCATGCTGCCACGCGGGATTGTGACACGAAGTCGGTGCTTTAAGAGCCTGCAGCCCTTGGATCAGCTGCCGGAGGCTCCCTTCACAAGCGACTACGCATGACAGTGCGAGCAAACCTTTCCCGAGGCCTCTAACCTCCGATATCGCGGAATCGTCAACAAACATCGCAATAAAAAGCAGCAAACACAATAGGGATGAGACTGTCTCCCACCCAACGGCGCAGCACGAAAGCCGAACCGCCGCATCCGTCAGCGCGCCTCCCCCCGTCACTCCACAACACCAGGTTGGACTCCGGGCACTCCTGACTTAGCAGGTCGAAGTCGGGGTTACAAGCCACGAAACTCTGACGATGAGTCATGGCCCAGTTGCAGAGAGCATCAGCTTCCTTGTTAAAGTCACGAGACCTCCACACGATGGGGTCCTGTTCATCGCTGATGGGGCTCCAACCGTGGACTCCGCAGATATGCACTAAAAGGTCAGAACAGGAGGGGAGGATGTGAAGCATACGCTGGGATGACTTTGCGTGCCCACATAAATTATCAGCTAACATTTGGTTGTCCACTACCGCCCAGAATCGTCTATGAGGGGATTGCCACTGAGTCTGGGAATCCTGCGGATGCAAAGGGAATCGAAACCTACGGAAAATGTCACCGCCCTGATGGAATTTATGCCTAAACCCGGAAGGCGCTGCCTACGGATGCCGTGGCCGTGTATCTCCTACATCTCTTCGTGGCTGGGACTTCGACGAGCTCACTCAAGGTACGGTCATCACCCTCAGCAGCACTGGAGGACCTGGAGGTCTGGACCAAAGGGTTACCGCACCCGCCGCGGGAAGACTTGGGGGCAGGACCGTCGGCGTCTGCCGGTGCAGTCTGACGTCGACTTTTACAACCAAGGTCGCCGCGTCCCCATCCGGGAAGCCCCCAAAGAAGACAAATCTGGTTCACCCAAGAATCACGTTGGTTTTCCCACACCTCCCGCTTCCCCAAAGTCACCTCCTCCCACCCCGGGCGTAGCTGATCCCAAGCATCGTCTGCCGTCTGCGCAACCGTCCCACTCTGTCGGTATCGCCACTCGCCATGTTCGTCTTTCCAGTGCGCTCTCGAAGGCGCCGCTAGCGCCCAGCATGTCTCGTGGTAGTCCCCTCGGCGGAATAGCGACAGCACACGGAGAGGGTAGCTCCAGCCTCCCCCGTTTTGAGGAGGGGCGGGGGGGAGGAAGGGGAGGAAGGAGGGCAGGCGGGGGGGAAGGGGTGGCGAGGGGGTAAAAGGAGTGGGGCGAGGAAACAGGGGGAGGCAAGAGGGACGAGTATGGAGAGGGTGATCAGGGGGATGGAGGGAAGATGATCAGCTGGGGGAGGGGAGGGGACCAGAGTAAAACCGAGAAGCACCAATGCTGCAATACACTCTCCCGTCCCAAGTCCCCTCCTCATCTCGCCATCGCTTGGACGTCCACTCCCCGGGTATTATTCGATGTCGTGCGTGTAGTTTACACCAGATGAGTTGAGATGCTCATCGATGGTCCTCGACGAGAAAAGATCCGCACGTCTGAGCGATACCAACTCACATGTCAATTCACACGCCTCCTTTTTTCACTAGAACAAGCGCCCTTTCGAGACTAGATCCCTATTGGCCTGCCGTTCTGGTGATATTGCTAAAGCGACAGCCTTGCACCCTTCTAGCGAAACATAAGCAATGTTAGAAGATCGGATAAGATATTCAAATCATGTCTTAAGGACGGATGGTAAGAACGCGGCGACCATTGAACATGGCAAAATAATGAAGCCGACATTGAGATGTTTGGGGCGGCTGGCGACCAAAGAAAATGGCAAAGGACGGGCCGCAGATGCAAGGACACACGGGTGCCCAAGATGAAGGCGCGCGTCCATACTAGGCGCGTTGGCTGTACACTTCCACGCGGTGCCCAACGAGATCCACGTTTGGAAAAAAACAGCCCCCCCCTCCGTGCAACTGCTTGCCTCCCGAGGAAGTCTCAGTCAAACACCCAGTTTGAAAAGAAAGTGCCCTCTACTCGCACAGCTGTGGCATCTGTTCCAGTTTCTGGTCTGTTACTGTAAAGGCTCAAGCGAGGGCCCCATTTTGAAATGAGCCGGGCGAGATCCTAATGAGGGGTCTCCTTCTTTCCGAAGCAGGCTCAACACAGGTCAATGCACAGCAATGCCTTGCATTGCTTCGCGCTGCTTGGCATTACTGGGCATTGCTTTGCACCGTTTGGCATTGCTTTGCGGCGCATAGCACTCTTTTTGCAACACGTACCACTGCTTCGGAATCCAGGTGAGGAGCCCGAGGATCCCGGGCGAGGAGCCCCGTGGAACCCAGGCGAGAAGACCCAGGGAAATCCAAGCGAGGAGCCCAGAGGAACCCGAGCAACGCGTGGAGGAACCCAAGACCAAACGACCCCAAATCTCCGACGATACATGTTTTTCAATCCGGGCGAATTTCGTCGATTTCGGTCTCCGGGGGCCGTTATCGGGCCCTGGGACCACCAAAAGCGGATCGTGGGCGTAAACCTACCCCGGGTGAAGGGGTCGGGGCCTCTGGGGCTGACGATTGAAACAAACCACGTTGGAGGATGTCAGGGAACGACTGACGACAAGCGCCACCTCTCATAGGCGCCGCAACACAAACCGGCCCCCTCTCGACCAATAAACAGGATATCCGTCAGCAAAGCGTAGCAGGGGAAGAGCACGCCCTGCATCCCTGAAATTGCTACCCAGTATCAAGAGGGATGTGCGCGGCGGTGAGGCGAGAGCCCCATTTTGAAAAGGAGCCGTCCTTCACTCTTATGGATGTGTGCGCGGCGCTAAGACGAGAGCCCCATTTTGCAAACGAGCCCCCCCCTCCATCCTCGTATGTGTTGCGAACTGCTAAAACGAATACGCCCCGCGCGAGGACGAGAGTCCCATGTTGAAAACGACCCCTTCTATCCCTACAACTGCTGCAAACTTTGCAGATCAATGTGGGCGGCGCTAAAATCGAAACTTCATTTTGAAAGCGGCCCACCCTCCAACCCCGTAACAATTCCAAGTTTTTCGAATGGATGTGCGCGGCGCCAAAGCAAACGCTCCATTTTGAAAGCGCCCCCCCTCCACACACGCCCTGGTAGCTGCTACAAGCTTTGAAGACGATTGTACGCGGCGCTGAGGAGACATCCGATTTTGAAACCGACTTCCGTCCATCCCGGTAAGTGTTGCACATTGCAAGCTTCAGGATCACAAGTGGTGAGGAAGTCTCGGGCGAAACGCTCTGCCCGCCCTGCAGGCCCATCTGACTCTGGGGGTGCGGCAGAAGCAAGTATCCATGAGGAACGGGGGCAGTGGAAAAAAGGGAGGGACACTGTGCAGGTGCTCTGGGATGGTGAGGCAGGAAGATCAGGAGGAGGAGGAGGAGGAGGGGGGGAGGAGGAGGAGAAGGTGGAGGAGGATATGTGGGACGGGGGGGAGGAGAGGGAGGAGGCAGGGGAGGGATGAGGCAGGAGAGGAAAAAGGAAGAAAGGAGGGAAAGGGAACGATGCAATGGAGAGGGGGGACGCAGGAGGGGAAGGGGAAAGGGAGACTGGGTGGGATGAGGCCAGACAGGGGGGGGGAGGATGCTCAGAAGGAGCATGATTCGGAGGAGGACGAGAAGGACATGGAGGAGATGGAGGACGAGTATCAGGAGGCTCGGGAGGGCCACAGACGCTGGACTCTGCCAGCTGTCCCCTCCTCCTCCTCCTCCTCCTCCTTCTCCTCCTCCTCCTCCTCCTCCTGCTCCTCCTCCTCCTGCTCCTCCTCCTCCTCCTCCTCCTCCTCCTCCTCCTCCTCCTCCTCCTCCTCCTCACTCCTCCTTTCTCCCCCGCCGACACCTCCCTCCCTCGTCGTCGTCCTCCTCCTACTCCTCCTCTTCCTTTCCCCTCCTTCTGCCTCCTGGCTCCCGCCTCTGCCAACTGTCTCTCCAAACGCTCGATCTGCTCCCGGTTGGCGAGGAAACCCTGATCGCGCGCGCACGCTCGAGGAGAGGATGGGGGGAGGGAGGGAGGGGGGGAGGGGCGAGGAGAGGGAAAGAAG